AATGAATGAATGCATGCATGCATGCATGCATGCATGCGTAAGTAAGTGGTGGTGGTGGTGGTGGTGGTGGTGGTGGTGACGGCAGGTCTACTGGGAAGGTTGTAATTTAACTTCCCAGAGAAATATATTTCCCACGCTTTCTTAAGGAATTCACAAACCGCCTTGTGGTTCCCAACAACATTCTCCAAATCTTGTTAATGGTCTTGATTCATAAGCGCCATATATTTTACAACATAATAATAAAACTTGACTTATTTGAGAACAGAATGGTACTTGTATTTGTTTCTTTCCCAGAATAATTTTAGAATTCACAAGATTGCCACCAAAAATTACATTTCTTCTTCAGTAAGATCGTGTCTCTTCTCATTCCTTGGGAAATTGTTTTGAAAAAAATTAAACTTCATGCTAAAATATATATGGTTATTCCAGATTGGTGCCATGATTTCCCACAATTATGAATTGGGAAATATATGAAAAATGTAATTTCTTTCATAAACTGTTAAAAAAAAAAACTTCCCAACTCCCTTCCACCCACCCTCAAATTTTGGAAAATAGAGAAGTTAAGCTCCGCTAATGGGACTTGGTTCTCCCTCGTTTTCATCCTTATTCCACCCAGTCTCAGAACATGAGATGAATACCCACCCTTCAGACACTAAATCTTTACCACATTCATCCTACTTATTCAGCCCTTCTTTTCTTTATAGCTTGGATATGGTTCTTCTCCTGTGATTCATGGCCCATCCCAACAACTCCTCTTCCAATGGATGTTCCCTAATAGGAACCAACAGTATGTCGGGATGCTCCAGTTGCTTTTGCTTTTCACATGGACCTGGATTGGTGTCATTTTTATAGAGGATGACAATGGCCTCAGGTTTGTACAGAAAGAACTTCCCAAATTTTCCCAGGGAGGTATCTGCTTTGACTTTATAGAACCATTGCCTCCACTATATTTTAAAATTGGCATACATGAAATGATAGAATCATGGGTCAAACTGTACCTCTTGATAAGTGATAGCACTGCCAGCGTTGTGGTCTTACATGGGGAAATTCACACTATGATTGTTTTGAGAATGTTTCCCAGAATTCCAGAGTTTGAAAACATTCCTGGGATGACAAATAGTAAAGTCTGGATGATGACAGCACAGATGGAGTTCACTTCTATTCCCTTACAACGATCTTGGGATGTAGATATCCTTCATGGTGCCTTAGGCTTTGCAACCCAGTCAAAGGAGGTGGTAGGTTTCCAAAATTTTCTTCAGAGGAGAAACCCTGATGTACAAACCAGAGATGGGTTTATTAAGGACTTTTGGAAACAGGCATTTGATTGTTCCTTCCAAACATCCCTAGAAGAGGAGAATCTTTGGAATCGCTGCAGTGGGGAGGAGAAGCTAGAGGCTCTTCCACGGTCTATTTTTGACATAAGCATATCTTCCCATAGCTATAGTGTCTACAATGCAGTTTATGCTGTGGCCCACGCATTGCAGTCCATGAGCTCGTTGATGTTAAAACGCAGAACTCTGTCAGAGGAAGGACGAAAGATCATTCTGAATCCAGTGCTGTGGCAGGTAATGTCCTCAGTACTTAAACACAAGAAACATTGCCATATCTTCATCCTCTGTCAAAGCGGATTCTCTGTTAAGTTTAGGGTTTTCTACATTTTAGAATTGGCATAGACATTTTTCTGCATCGCTGCTCTGCTCTTTTTGGTTTCAAAAAAATGCTTTGGTAGATTTAAGCAGCTTAACTTGGTTGTTGGCAGTTCAAATCCAATGCCAATGAGTCTTCGGCATTTTATGTCCTAGTGACCACAAAGAGAATGTAGGAGGAAATGAAGACTTAAAGTTTTACTGGATATCCTTTTTGACTAGTGCTCTGCTTACTCTTCGTTTTATGAGATTGTTAATCTTAGCTTATTTCCTTTTACCATTCTTAAGCACACAGGGAAGGACCAGATGCCCCCAGAATCTCAACCTCTAAAAATGCAATTAGATAGTGATAGGATTTGCTTATCCCTATATTTTCTCTAAACAAGTCTCTTTTCTCTTGTGCAGATGCTCTTTGACTCTGCTCCTAGTAGGATATAGCTAGCTAGACGTCCTAGGCTTTTCATTATGCTGTACTAATCATTGGTCAGGCCAGGTTCTAGCTTCCAGAAATGTTCCTCAGTCTCCAACATGTGGCTACAGATTAACTTTATTAGTTAACTGTCTATGTACCCAGGTCCAAAG